CCCGCGGGCTTCGTTTTCCTCCCGTGCCCTGACCGAGCCAGGGCACCTGCTGTGTGCGACGCCAGGCCCCAGGAAAGCTCAGGGTCCCTCGGGCTTCACATCAGCTGAAGGCTCCCGCTTGGTGCCTCGGTGGCGGCACAAAACTGCCAGCACGAGGCAGGGCAGCCTGTTTTGGGCAGCAGAGCATCAGCGCTCTCAAGCGCGGAGAGGCGCTTTGCCACGCGCAGCAAACGAATACTGGGGCTGCAAAAGGAAAAAGCCGGAGAGAAAATTAAAAGGGGGCATCTTGGCTCTTACAATGTGTTTTTTGCACGGCCCTTTCTGCAGCCATTCAGAAATGAGCTCGTGACTTGGTAGCTTTCAAAACTGGAAATGCAGCCGTTAAAAGGCAAGTCTCCGTGGTTTGCCCTGCAAGCCGCTGGGGGCCCGCTGGCCTTGGCCTGTTTGGAGCTGGCTGCTCCGGCAGCAGGACAAGAGCACGTTTGCACAAGCGCCTGCCTGGGGGAGACTTTCCCACCACCGGCCTTGCTCCCTTGGCTGCCCCCAGGTGCCCAGTGTGTGCAGAGGACGTGGGGGTGCAGGAGGTGAGGTATCTCCACCTCTCCTTCCCTGAGGTGAAGCCCCGCCACCTGGCCCTCTGGGTGAGCCTCCCTGCAGGGTGCTGCACCTCTTCTCCGTGCTTTTGGGGGGAGCGCTGCTTGCTGTCCACTTCTGTGTGCCCCTGGGGACACAGAGCTGGGGGCCCCAGTGGAGATGCCCCTGGCAGGGGCAGGACATGTTGCTCTGCGATGGCACCCCCCTGTCCAGCCCCTGGTTCCTCCTCTGGGTGGGGGGCCAGGGCCGGGCCGGCCAAACGGGGCTTTCCAGGCTCCTGTTGGCGCTCCAGCAGTTCCTCGTCTTCTTCTGGCTCTTTGGAGCTCAGTGTTTCCTGGCCACACTGCTCCAGCCTGTGCCTTTCCCCTTGGCTCCTTGCTTCTCCACCTAAGTGGGCTGCACCCAAGGACAAGACCCCGGCCACAGCCGATGGGCTGTGTCCCCTGAGCAGGGTGCTGCGTGCCTGGGTGAGAGCGCAGCAGAAGCTGCACCTGCCCATGGGCAGTGGGGCGACACCGAGGGCACACTGGAGCCGGCCACCTTTCTACCAGTGGTGGTGGGGTGGTTGGTCTGGAGACCCTGGGGAGGTGGACTGTGCGCAGAACGGGAGGGAGACCCTCACCCCAGCTAATCCCAGGGTTGTTCCCACCATGCTGATGCCGGAGCAGCCCTGATTTCCATAGTAGACCTCTTGTGCGTCCCCTAGGACGGCCCTTGCAGAGCCCTCTCGCATCTCAAATGCTGATGTTGCAGTCCCCGTCCTGTACAAACTCCTCCCTGAGGCTCCCGCCCCAAAGCCAAGATCCCCCTGGCTCCTCAGCTGCCAGCAACGGGGGGAAGAGTTGGGCTGAAGGTGCGAGGTTAAGCGGCTGCGCTTGGGACTGATGCCCGTAAGGACTGCCTAAGCCCCCAAGTGACCCGCGTGAGAAGGAAAGGCAGGTGCGATTTATCCAGTGAGGTCTTGCAAAAGGAGAAGCATCCTGCACATTGTTTGCACCAGTGGCTTCACTTTCTCCGATGTATCAAATTCTGCACACACATGTGTGAGAAACGGGATCTGCTGTGGATATGTGTGAGACCGTTTAACTCGATGGGGGTAATTTCAGGAACTAAAACGTCATGCTTGCTCTGAGAGTTGAACTAAGCAATGGCTGAGACGATCAGAGTGTCCCACCTAAGTTCTTTGAGGGGCGAACCCCAGAAGAAGAGTTCTTTAAACTAAATCGCAACCATGGCAGTAGAGCAATAAACATATGCAAGCTGGCCTTGAATAAACGGAGGCTGGAAATTACAAGATGGTTTCTTCTTGGACCAGCTGAGTTTCAAGGGTTTTGCGGTGTCGATTATGTGAAATCATCGGGCTGCTGCTGTTCTGCAGGACAGGGTGGGCCACCCAGGTATGCCAAAACAGGAGGTCACTTCTACCTTCCTCAGCTGAAGCACTCGCTTTGTGCTGCATTGGGTGGCTATTGGACCCCTTCTGAGCTAATTCAAATCATTAACCTGACAGAAAACTGACTAGCAAAAGCCAAAGGCACACAAGCCACCAGAGAATCTGCTGATGAGTTAGTGAATCGAATCAGCTCAGGAGGGGTCCTGTGAGTAGCAAAGTTGGTGGAGGAAGAGAGGAACAAAGTAGAGGAGGCGAATCCTTCTCCTTTGGCAGTGCTCAGCTGTTAGATCGGCTTGGCTGGTCTACGGTCTGAGAAGTGGTCTAGACCTTTTGTTTCCATTGTTATTTATTGTACTGCAGTAGCCCAGTTGTGAGATGGAGGGAGTAATTTTGTTGGTTTCCTTGTTGTGTTTGTATGTAAGTTCACAGCACATTTTAGAATTAGCTTAGCTACCTGTTATTACTGCTGCATTGGTGATGCAGGAAGGAGATTGCTGTCCGATGACGTTATATGTCTGCAGAGAAAAAGTTCTGAGAGCCAGGCATGAGAATGTGTAAACATATTTGCAGAAGTACTGTGGTATCGATAGAGAAGTTCCTGTTTGCTTATGTTTGATGAACCTTCATGTTTAACTCCTTAGTAAGAACAGTGGAACCATTTTCCCTCCCCTGGTGTTGGCTGAAACATTCAGATATATCTTGGTGCTGAAGAGTCAAGACTGTATTCAAATGCAAACTCAGTTTCTGTATGGCAGGAAACATCCCTTACTTTTCTTCTGAAGGAACGTGATTTGCCATCTCTGCCCCCCTTCTTGTCTGGAGTCTCTGAACAACTGCACCTGCAGCCATCGGAGCTTCTCGGGCGGAGTGCGGTTTAGGAGCGAAACACCAGGGCTCTTCTTGGCAATTTGTGAAGCAGCATTATCGCTTGTTTTGGAGCTGGAACAACCTAGGTGTGCCCCAGAGTTATCTGGGCATACAACGTTAAGTGTCAGAGAGCAGATTAAAGGTCGGGAAGTTTTACTGTCCAGGTTTTGTTAAAGTCTTGGTTTAGTTTCTCCTCTCCAAAGTCTATTCCAACTATATGAATCTCAGGTGCCTCTCAGAGAGGGATACACCCCAAGCCATCAAACTGAATGGGCCATCGAAGAGTGGCACAGGCTCAACTGTCTTGCTTATTTCCATATGAAATTCTCCTTTGTTTTATGTTCTACCAGTGATAGTACTCATGTCAAGATTTTTTTGCTTTCTTGTTGACTCCTCCCTGCTGCAGCATAATCCACTGGCTTACTATTTTATCTCCATATCGGCCTATCCCATTTCTGTTGGGTACCCAGGGCATTTCAGTTGAGATGCTGCTAGGGAAGTCCTCTCACTCATGAGACAGAGATGCCAACTTTTTAGTAGAGCTCAGATATGCTCTCATCCAGAAAAAGTTGTCAGTGGATAGGAAGGAAAAAAAGGAATAGAAATCAGCTGGCTAAAGTGTTTTTCACTGAAAACTGCAAGGGTATTCTTATTCAAGGTTCTTGCTGGGAAATGCTTTTTGCTTAAGCTTTGAGAAGTATTTCCATGTGACAGATGGAAGTTTTTAATTCAAATGTGTAATTCTTACCTTGTAGTCATTCAGGCTTGAAAGGGCATAGATATAGAGACAGAAACCAGCCTGCACGTTAATGAATACATCAGCCCAGTGCAATGAATGCACTGCTGAAAAGCATGGGATATCCTGCCAGAAATCCATCCCTGTATGCAAACATCTCCACTTCCTTACCATTACAGCGGTGCCAGCTGAAGCTTGCAGTGAGCGCCCGCTGCTTGACCAGTTCTGGCCCTAGGCATCTCAGTCTTACGACATTCCTTTGCCTGTCATGAAGACATGCCATGAATTGAGCAGGATTAGGATTTTCTGTGAAGTAAAGGAAATAACAGGTAGAAGCAATCAATTGATATGGAAATCTGAATCTATAGGGAGTGTAGCTGTGCTGCATCCTTTGCATCAAGTCAAATGTTTAGGAAAATTAAACATTTCTTCTAACTGATCTTAGGGCTTGTGCGGTATTTTTTCAAAGACCTGGCTAGTCAAGTTGGCGTTTGATTCTTTAGAGTAATTGGGTAGCCACTAGCAGACGCAGTGATGAGAACATCACCAGACAGAGCATCTCATAAGTGTGCGTGTGTGTAGTTTAATCCTTTATGTATGTGTGAATGCTTGGGAAGAGCTGCTTGATGAAGACAGGATACCATCAGTTCATGTGCAAGGAGTGCGTATTTGTCTTTGCTGTGCTCTGAAGGAAGTAATTGATTTGGAAGACCTAGTGGAAATACCTGGAACCTATTTAGATATTAACCTAGGTGAGCTCATCAATACGTGAGAGATACTTGGTGTGATGATTATTTCTTTAGTTGCTAACTCTTGGATTTTAACTGTTTTCAGTTTTGGGTGAGGACTGTGAGGCATATGTTGATCATCATGGCAAGGCACAACCTCCAAAATCCTGTCCCAACTTCTGCTGTGGAAACTGCATGCATCAATACTGTTGCTCTAATGTGCTATTGAAATTTGATGAAGAACAACAATTTAAGTGTAATCTCCTTGATGGAAGGTAGGAGGCAAACTGAATGTATACAGCAGGCTTTCATTTTAATTATCCGGTGACAAAAACATATAGTTTAATGGTTTAAACATACAGGGGGACCTTATAGCTCTATTTCTGGCTTTATCGGGGATCTACATTAATGCAGGTAATCTACCTGCAAACTGAGAGTAATGAGATGGACAAATTGACACATGAACAGATAAGTATTTAAATAAATCTTAAATTCCATTTTTGAGATGAATTCTCTTATTATAGGACCTCAGGTTCAAGCAATGTAAATTACCTGCAGTTCCGTGCAGACTTTGATGACATAGACTCTGGCCCTAGGTAAGTCATGGCAAGTCTTAGCTTTTTAAATGTTATTTATTTATTATGTAATCAATACATGCCAATATAAAACAGAAATAGAAACACTTGCGTGTTAAGAATGCTGAGCACACAAACCTTTCAGGATATTTGAAGAAATAAAGACAGAGGAATAGGTTAGGTTATGCTGTTTAGACCATAATGATCATTGTATTCTGTATTCTCATTATTGAATGGGAGTTTGTCCTCTAAAGCCTTAGCACACTTGCTCTATACTTTTAAATACTGGCAGATTAAGTCTATAGCGGCTGTATAAAAGAAGCTGCTTTTGTATGAAGTCTCTTTTATTTTTTAGCATTTTTTGCATTTAGAGTGAGAAATATTGATAAAATCTATTTCAATCTGTGAAAATAAAAATATTTTAAGTACATGCATTATATTAGTGGTTGTTCACAGATGATCAGAGTTCTTGCTCTACAGCATTTTTATTTTTAGCTGTGACATGGAAAAATATAAAGAAAGAACGAGGTTTAATATGAATTTGAGCTATGAATATTTGATACACCTGCATATGTTTGAATAATTACGAACCTTTAGGTTCTGCTAAATTTATTTGATAATGATTATTATTGAATTGATTTGATGAAATAATTACATTTAGAAATTTATTTTAAGTGATGTCGATCAAGTATGCTTTCTTTTGAAAACAAACCTATTTCAATTTTAACTTGACAACCTATAGTGAAAACGGGATTTCTGGACCCCCATGAAAATGGTACAAATGAAAAATAAAACATAACCATGCTGGTTTTTAAAGACATCGCAAGCATTGAACGAGTGAAGGTTTTCACTGGGCAACTGCAACATTTTGTCAGTTTGTCCTAAGGGTAACTTTGTGAAGCTGCAAAGCTGCAGAGAGAACATGTGAGTGCGTTCAGAGTTGAGAAACCCTTTCAGAAGTGAAAAAGCAGAAGGGCTGTGATCTATTAATACATAAACACGAAGTGTGAACAGATGAAGTCCAGCTGTACAACCTTGAAGGCTCATGTAACCAAAAAATAAGCAACTCATTTATTTAAGTCACTGCCAAAGGTGCCTCTCTAGTTTAGCAGGTGAGTGAGCCTGGTAAATCAAAACTTGTCTCTAGTTTTAAAAAAAATAAAAATAAATAGTCGTGGTTACTGCACAGTAATGCGAGGAGGACAATTATTTTGTATTATGTGAAACACTGAGTTTCTTTGTCCAACTCAAAATAGGATAGGGAGGGGGTTGCGGTGAAAGTACAGGGTTAAGAATGTTTCTGGAAAATCTCTGGTGCCTAAGTAAGAGAGTAAGCTGTTGCTAGCTAAAAGACTGAACGTAGTGAAAAATGTCCCGTCCCTACGCGAAATGATCCTGTAATAATCGCAAAAAAATGGAAATCGGACTTCCTTAGGACGGCCAAGTTACCAAGGCAAAAACAGAAGCGGCGCCTGAAGTCAAGCCGGGGCCGGGCCGCAGCGCCGCTGGGAGGCGCCCCGCGCCGCCCGCTCCTCGGGCAGCCCGCGCCGCCTCCGCGCCGCCT